CCCCCCCCCCCCCCGCGCTGCCCCAAATACAAGGAACTCAACATAACTCGATTTCTGGCACTTTAAGAGCAAGGTATGACCTGAGCCTTCTGACCCAATTAACAGGTACTGCAACTGAAACCTTCCCCTTGGGAGCACAGCTTGCTGGGGCCGGTAAGCAGGGCACAGAGCCTCTAGAGCCCTCACTCTGGGCCCTGGTTTGGGATGCTTCACTGGGCATCCCATGGAGCCATTAAACCAGAGCGCATGTGGACACCTGATGGAAAGGGCTACTACAAGGCAGGAGGACTGGGAGATGGAGACAAGACTGGGTTCCATGAGACCCTGCCTTAAGAAGAAATATTTAGAAGGAATCTATACCCCCATGGCAAGAGCTGCCGCCTCCTCCCAGGTCCCATTCCTGCTAGAAGAGGATGAGACAGGGACAGGGGAGTCAGAACAAGGGAGGGGACAGCAGACCTATTAACCTAGCACTGGGCTCTGAGCAGTCACACAGCAGTCCTGATAAGTCCTGACTCTGGGTTTGTCACACATGAGAAATCTATCTCTTGTCTGGCCGTGTACCCAGAGTGTTTATTATAGTTGATTCATGGCCATCAAAAGAAGAAAGAAGAAGAAGAAGAAGAAGAAGAAGAAGAAGAAGAAGAAGAAGAAGAAGAAGAAGAAGAAGAAGAAGAAGAAGAAGAAGAAGAAGAAGGCGGCATCCAGCCCATGACAGCAAGAAGAGCCACCCCTGGATGCCGATGACTTAGATCTGCATCTGGATTCTCCATGTTCTCCTCAGATCACACATGTGTGGCCCCTCAGCCTGCCCTCCTCTGCACTGTTTCCTCCTCTGCAGCCCTCTGTGCCTTTTAAAAGTCAGTCAAGAGATCCTCGCCTGCTATCTGAGATTCTTAAAACAGGCATGGGGGAGGGTAAAGACAGCCAAGATGCCAGAGAGGAAATTCAGGGGCTGCAAAGCCCACAACCATGACCGTACATACTTACAGCAGCCTCTCCACTCTATAACACAGACAGCCGCACATGGGGAAGATATCGTAGTGCTTGTCCCACACCTTGTACGCTTCTCTATATGTTTATATATATATTATCCACATTATGCTTCAATTCCTACTTATTTTAGAATTGCAGCAGCATTTTTCTACGCCACAGGACAATGGCACTTCTCAGGAAGACCGGCAGCACCATCTTCCACATCAACATAATGCAGGGACTTTACAGTGTCCCCCTGCATTAGCTCACCCTCAGGATCCTAGAAGAGGGGCCAGCCCCGTTTGACGGCTGAGCTGACAAAAGCAGAGGGATGTTAAGTGGCTCCTATCTTACCTTGGGGTTGCCCCAAACCCTGCCATTGAGCCCTGCACTCTAAGCGTCCCCTACCTTCTTCTCCACATACGAGGTCACATCTAAACCATCAAGGACCCCACCACAATGGGGTGAAGAGATTAAAGGCACCCAGTCTTAAACGCACCTCTATCAGACCGCTCTAAACCTTCATGCCACTGAGCCTCAGCCCTGCCACATGAAAATGGAAGCTCGGTGCCTCTGACAGGTAGGAACCATCCAAGTGGCAAAGCCACCACCCACCTTCTCACGGTACGCAGAGAGCAGGGGCACTTTCAGGCTCCCCGGGGCACTAACTGTCCTCTTGTTCCCTGTTCCAGAAGCAGGTCCTTCACAAGAAACATCCCACCACGTCTGCAGCCCCTGCTGGGCCAGTTTCTGGGGCCACAGACCTCAAGCTGGAAGGCTGTCAAGGTTTGAGCTAGTTCTCAAAGGCAGCTGTTGGGGCTGTCCTAATTTCCCTGATGGGAACAGAAATACCGGCTCTGTGGATTTTAGCCATGCCTGGGAGTATATTCTGGGCCTCTGGTCACTTCCACAGGTCCCTCCTCCCCGCAGAATTGAAACTGGTGGGTGTCAGAGCCTAGTTGTGGGTCATTAGCAACTTCTCCAATCCCTGCCCAAGCACCTTGCCCTCTCCCTTCCCTAGCTTCCATCTTGATACCCACCAAGAGAACAGAGAAGGGATGGTGACCACTTTACCACCGAGCAGGCGCCCGCCCGTGAAGCACAGCAGCCCAGGCCTCCCTCCCAGGCAAGTATGGGAGACTTTCCCTGCGACGCCTCCAGCCCCTTCAGGCCAGGAGGGCCTCACCCGCAGAGCCGCCACGCCTAGCGCCACCCTCCCCAGCACCTAGCTTGGCTACCTGGAACTCCGCGGACCTCTCCCAGGCCCAGCCCGTGAAAGCTAAGACACTTGGAAAAAGGAAAACAAGTTGGCCAAAGCCCTGGGTCATCCTTATCTTAGTTCCCCCTAAACCGCCACTAGGACCCCAGGGCCTCAGAGTCTGGAAAGTCCCTGCTGGGATACAGGAGTCAGTCACCAAGCTAGCTAGTTAAAACCGGAGGGGCTGGGGTGGGGGATGCCTTCACTCCATCCAACCGCAGAGCAGTGAGGGCAGAGAACGAGCTCTTTCCGCGGGAAGGGGAAGAGTGTCCAGTCGGTGTGAGATCAGGAGGAGTCCGGTGCCGCCCTTAAGCTACATGGAGAAGGGTGCCCAGTACCCAGACTGGTGCGGGACACGAAACAGTGCCCAAGCCAGCTCCACCGCCCACACCAACTCCAGGGGACCCGGCCCCACCCGTCAGGTGTCCCTACTCGATCACGGTGGCCTGCCGACGCCAGTGTCCCCTCACCTGGCCTCAGTCAGTGTCCGGGAGCAGGTGTACAGGAATTCACGCCGCCACAGCACAGAAGTCCCCCCCGACGGCTAGGCGCGGCTGGGAACCGCGGGCTCCTCGGCGGCCCGCACAGGCCCGCACCTGCCCACCTAGGTGCCCGGAGCTCAGCGCCAAGCCCAGGTTGCCGCGGCCCCTGAGCCGTCTGGCCACGCCCTCCAGGTGTGGCCACATCCCCCGGAGATCAGGATTGGTGCAGTACAAGAAATCTGATACTTTGCGTTCTTGGGCCGCGGGCCCCGCCTTGCCAGTTCTACGCCCCTGCCACCGACCGAGGGAGCGGTGCCTGCGTGGGCCTCGCCCTGCGCGTGTCCGATGGTCCTGGGGACCCGGGAGGTTAGGAGGTCACGTGGAAATGGGAGGACGTCGCTCCTCCCGGAGTGACCCCGCACAAATGAGGGTTTGGTGACTGGCTGGCACCACACTAGCTTAGGGACCTGCGTAAGTGGACTCGGCTTTGAGAAGCTACGCCAGGACCTGTCAATGTGGCCTCCGGGACTGTCCGTGCGACCCCCGGTTCCACCTTATGTTCTCATCTATTCGAAGATCACTCCAATTTCCGCTTTCTCCATTCTCCAGGAAGTGCTATTTGAAAGCACAGGCCCTGGAGCCAGCTGTGGGGTTCAAACCCCCAACTTTATCAGGCACTAGAGACTCGGGAAAGTTTTCTCAGCTGTCTAGGCTTCCGTTTCTTGTTGTGGATTGACATTGCTAAAGGTGCCTGCCTTTGTGGGGATGTGGGCATTCGGTGAGCGTCGAAAGGACGTAGCACTCGGTTATTATTGAAGTGGCGGTAGAATATCCCATGGTGCCTTGCAGAGTAAGAAGGTGTCTCCTGGAATTCAAGTCCTGCATGCCTGAAGACCGTCACCCACCGCCCCCATCAATAGACCACCTATGAAAGCAGCGTCCAGCCAGTGAGGCAAATATCTCACCCCCAAATACCTCTGTCACAAGGAGATGGACCGTGGGCAAGGCACTTAGGAGGAAGGTTGGCGGTAGAACTCCTCTGTAGATTGTTTCCCTAATATATCATGGCCCCGGGTAAGAGCCTCTAACAGTGATAAAGGACTTCCCTCACTCAAGAGACTCTGTCAAGAAGATTGAGACTTCAAACTATCCAGATACAGCAGGCTAGAACCGTCATCTGAACACCAGAGGACAGGCCTCTGGGCACGTGTGTAGGGGATTGTGTAGATTAAGGTTAGCCCCTGAGAGTGTCTGTGAGGGGTTATCTTATTAAACATATCCATGTGGGAAGACCCAACTTAATTGTGAGCAGGACCACTCCCTGAGCAGGGCTTTCTGGACTGTATAGAATGGAGACATTAAGTCTCGCTTTAGTGACCGTGCATTCAGTGCTCTGTGCTCCTGACTGAGGATGCTGCAAGCACCCAGACCTTGAAATCCCAGTAGCGACAGACTGTATGCATGCCTGAATGGAGCCAGGACAAACCCTTTCCCCCTAGAGCTGCTTCTCCTGGATATTTTATTGCAACGATGCGAAGGAAAATAAGACAGCAAGTTGGAGACCAGCCTGGGATCAATAGTGAGATCCTGTCTCAAAAAATAGATAGATAGATAGATAGATAGATAGATAGATAGATGGATGGATGGATGGATGGATGGATAGATAGATAGATAGATAGATAGATAGATAGATAGATAGATAGATAAAATAAAGCAAGGGAAAGAGGGAGAAGCTGTGGCCTGGTGATGTGAGAAGTTGAGTGTGGAGCCCTGTAACTTTATGTTCTGGCCCCCAGGATCAGAGTGCAGTTTTATTTGGTTGCTTAAAGGTATGATGGCGTTAAAATGAGGTCATTGGGTTGGCCCTAAGCCAATACAACTGTTGTCTTTACAAAAGGAAGAGAGCTGAACACAGCGTAGAACGAATATGATTCAGAGATAAAGGAGATGGTTGAACTCAAAGGCAGACCTAGGGTTGCTTTCTTCCTACAGCCCTCGGCTTAAATGACACCACAGCATTGCCCTTCTGAAGGCCTGAATGACAAGGTAGTAAAGCCACCTGGCTATGGTATCTATTCTGGTGATCATAGTGAATTCACATAAGTTAGTTGGAGAGCCCTGGATTGGTGACAAACTTGGTTTTCTCCCGGTTCCAACTCAGCTTGGGATGTCACCAGTGCAAAAGCCCAGTAAGGCAGCAGGGCCCTAAGGCATGACTCAGCCCGCCTCCCTGTCAGTCACTGCCTGTGGTCACTCTTCCCTCTGCTCAGGGGAAGGGCTGGCTCATCAGCCCAGCCCACTATGACAGATGCTCAGGAAAGCTCAGGTCTTCCCTGGGGATGGGGAGGAGGAGGCTGGCCATTGAGATCAAGCAAATGCTGAGAGAGAGAGAGAGAGAGAGAGAGAGAGAGAGAGAGAGAGAGAGAGTGTGTGTGTGTGTGTGTGTGAACTCCCAAGACTAAAAGTGATTCCTCGAGGGTCTTCTGTAGAATTTTGAATGTTGGAGGTTGGGTATGGTATGTGTTTGTAATTCCAGTGTTTGAGAAGTTGAGGCTAGAGAATCATAAATTCAAGACCAGCCTTGGCTACATAGTAAGGTTAGGTCTAGTCTCAAAAACAAGATACATATTTTACAGTGAGGGAAATTTAAGCTGGAAGAGTCTAATTCTCTAGTCCAGAGGCTGGGGACATAACACGGCATATGCAAAGCCCTGGGTTCTACCCCCACCACCACAAAAGTAAATCGATTCTCTAGTTCAGGAGTGAGATGACTTAGAGTGTTTCTTTGGTCCCACTCTGCATTCTCGGTGCGGGAAAGTTTCACACAAGCCCCGGCGGTCACACTGTGGACAGACACCTGGCCAGCATTCCTAGCTGGCCAGAGCTGCCCAGGCAAAGGGAAATTTGTGTATTGGGGTTAGGATAGGACACCCTAGGGCAGTGGTTCTCCACCTTCCTAATGCTGCGACCCTTTAACACAGTTCTTCATGTTATGATCACTCCCGATCATAAAATTATTTCGTTGCTGCATCATAACAAATTGTAAGTATCTGATATGCAGGCTATCTGATATGTGACCCCAAAAGGGGTTGAGACCCACAGGTTGAGAATCATTGCCCCTCTTGGATTCACTTGCTTAATTATATGAAATTGAGTATTAAAGCTTGGAGTCTCTGAGGTCTTAGAAGAGACCTCAGAGAGGTTGAGTGGTTTTCTCAAAGTTGTCTAGCCAAATAGCAGCAAAGCCAGGCCTAGAATCCAGACCTGGGTTCTTTCTGCTTGTACCTTGCTCAGCACCCCAGCCAGGCTTTATTCCGACTGGTGCTATACTGGCTGACTCCCAACCCACAAACCACACGTGGATGGAGGCGCCTCTGCTAATGTATTGCCTAGCACAGAACTCCAGCTCTCTGCTTTCCCGAAGGATCAGCAGGGGGAGGAAGCCAGGCGGCAGCTGGGAAGAAACTCTGGCTCTGGTGATAGAAAACCCCAGGTCTCTTTAGCTTGTGATAAGCCTCAGCTGTGTGGGCTGGGAAGAGAGTATCTTGTAAGCTCCTCCAAGGTCCTGCAGGAATGGATTCTATGCCCCGCTTGGAAGCTCAGTCCCCTCCCACCTCTGACGCGGCTGGGCCTGACCTGCTCTTTCATTTCTCCCTGTGCTTCTGCCCAGGTGGGGTGGTGCTGACTCACCTGTGAGTCTGAGTTTCAGGCAGAAGCTGAATGCTGCAGTACAGAGGCCCTGACTCAGGGCACAACACAGAGATCTGGGGAAGTCCCTCCTCTCTCCTGCCCCTGTCACTTCTATTCCTGGCACCTCTTGTTTCGTGGGAAGGAGTTTCCTTCGCTGCTGGAGATGGCAACCTCTATTGATATTGTGTGTGTGTGTGTGTGTGTGTGTGTGTGTGTGTGTGACAAAAAAGCAATGAGATCCAATCCTCCCTTTCGGCTTGGGAGAGCAAAAGGTGAGGTAAAACTGGGACCCCAGCCAGAAGCTTGTGCAAGGGAGACCTGAACCTTACAGGAGTCAGCAGTAGCAGCCGCTCTCCCAGGCTGTCTGAGGACAGCATAAGGACACCTAGCTAAGCCATCCAGTTCTGCACTCTCATAAGAAACTCAGGCTCTAGTGGGCCCTTCTAAAAGGCATTTCCATAGCCCAGGAGGTTGTGCCCAAACTCTTTCTTGGCCCTGGCCACCTCTACCTCCATCCAGATATTTCAAGGTCTCGGGACTACACGTTTACCTCAAAGCCCAACCTGGCTGGGATGCACTGGCTTGTTGCTTTTATCACCCTTCCTCTGCCCTCTGACCCCTGTGCACAGCATCCTAGAATTATCAAGATGTCAAGGAGCTGCAGCAAAAACAAATCCACAAACGAACCTCACTTTCTACCTTGGACCGTGAACAGACGTTGGCTCAGGCTCTAGGAAACCCCACTAAGGTGCCCAGTTTCTTGTTTCTAACTGTCTCTATCCTTGAATCAAGCACAACACTGACAATTGCTGTCAGAGAAGCAGCTTTCTTCCCAAGCAGGAAGAGCAGAGGAAAAGAAGACCAAGTGGGTCCCTCAGAGGTTCGTCAGCTCAACCCGGGTCTCTCCATCCATCTGCCTCCATGCCTGCGAATCTGAGATGCCATTTCCCTCTCGCTCTGAAATGAGTGGTTTCCATCTGCAATGAAAGAGCCAAGCCATCAAACAGACACTGTGAGCATGAGGGTTTGTGCTTCTGCAGGGACAGAGCAGTGGCCTGACTTGGGTTAATGGTCAACAGCAAACAACCTACCCTGTCACGAGATCCTGGTAAGAAAGTGTCCCGAGAGCGGCCAATGGTGTGAGGGATGACAGCCACCCTCACTGTTGTCAGCTGTTCTGTGTTTGGCTGTGTGAGCCATTACACAGCCGTTTTCACCAGGCCTTTTCCAAATACGACCAGATGGGAACTCTTGTCAGCCACCCCAGCCTAGGACTGGGCTTAAGAGGGA